AAACAAAATTTCTTGCTGAGAGTATCAAAATACGTATATGGGCAGCTATGGAGGAGGGATATTTGTTGCTATCTTAGTCCATTTTCTATTGCTGTAACAAAATACCTGAGACTGGATGATGCAAAAAGAAAAAAAGATTTTTTTAGCTCACAGTTCTGGTGGTTTAAATCTCAAAGCATGGTGCTGACATCTGCTCAGCTTCTGGTGAGGGCCTTCTTGCTTCATCTTCACATAGAAGAAGGCATGACATGATTAAACACAGCAAGTGTGCCAGAGAGAGCTCACATTTATAACAAAGCCACTCCTGTGATAACCCATGAGTTCACTGATCCATTGGGTTGGGAGGGAAGGAAGAGTCCTCATGAGCAATCACTAACTAAGATCCCACCTTTCACCATTACTGAGCTGGGGACCAAGTTCCCAACTCATGGACTTTTGTGGGATGTATTCAAACTATAGCAGTGGAAGACCTTAAATATCAGTGTAAGCAGTTTGAACTTCACCATTTAGATAATGGAGAATCACTGAGGTTTAGAAAAGGGAACATATTGCTAAAAGGTGTTTTTTAAAGATTTCTCCCTCAAATAAAGTAACCTACAAGGTAAATCAGTAAGTAAAGAGAGGTAAGATGCTCACTTATCCTATCTGTTTGATAATGTTTTATTTTTTCTTTATTAATAAAATAAATGTAAAATATGAAAATTTGTGGTATAATGAACACCCACCTCCCAGTTTATGACAACTAAAGGATCATTACTTTACAGTCCTATGTAGAGTCCTCTTCCTTCTCCTACCCTTTTCAGACAGAGTAACCTAGAGTCAGGAATGTACTAAGAGTATCTGTATGTAAAATGGCATTGTACTAGTAAAATAAATAATAAATCAATCTAAAGGTCAACTGTGAAACACAATGTAGATTTAAGTTTATTAAACCAATGGAAAATGGAGAAGTGGCCAAAGATGCACCAAAGAAATGAAAAATCAGGGATGACGATTGGTAGCACATAAAATATAAGACAAAAATTTTAATGTTCAAAGAGAATAATTTATTTAATAAAAGATGTAGCACCTTGGGAATTTGTAATAGTCATGAACATTAATGCAAAAACAACATAGGGTTCAATCAGAGAAGTAGAACCACATAAATATTCTGTGTGTAGATAATATATAAGTATAGCATACATATACATCTATCTGAGCATATGTATATAGAAAGGAATCTGTTTCAAGGATTTGACTTTACACAACTTCGGGAGCCTAGACCTTGTGTAGGAGTTAGGGAAGCTGGAGGAGGATCCAGGAAAGGTGGAGAAGCTGCAGGTCCAGATGCAACCTCATACCAAAGAGGTGAACCAGCAGGTAAGCAGAGACTTTCACGTGCTACTAAATGACAGGGCTTCAGTTCTGTCCTCTACATATTGCACAAGAATCCCTCTTGTAGCTCACCTCAACCAGAAATATAAAGAAAAGGGAATTGGGGGAAATTCATCAGCTTAGCCAAGTTGACATATTACAAGCTCACCACAAGAAACATAGCATTGATGTGTAAAGAGCAAAACCTTCTAGTAAAATAAGAAGAATTTCACAAAATCATAATCGTGGTGGAAGATTTAAATGTACTTTTATCAGAATGTGACAGGATAAGTTTGGGAGGCAGAATTCTAGGATGATACCCATGTTTCCTATCCTTGGTATATAAACTTTCCATAGTCCATCCCTATGAGCTGGATTTGTGAATATGATGTGATATTCCTCCTATGATTATGATTTGTGTGTGGGGGGGTGGGGTACCACTGAGCCACATCTCCAACCCTGTTTGGTCAGTGAAACAGGGTCTCACTGAGTTGCTTAGTGCCTTGCTGTTACTGAGGGGCAATTACTAGAATTTTCATTCAAAAACCTTGCATATTCCTCTATTTTACTACATGGGCTATTCATTTGTACATCTTTGACTATGAACTCTTCAACAGTACAGATCTATCCATTTTTTAATCCGCGATGCTTAATGCTATTTGACACATGACAAATACTTAATGAAGAATTTTTCTGAATAAATGGATGTGAAAGTAATTAAGCAGCCCATGCTCCCAGTTAGAATGTTAGGGTGAGGGTACTTCTACAAAAACCCCCTTCCAGATGGAGGAAGGGTGGAATGTTATTTATTGCTTACCTTAGGATGCTTTTGGATGTTTTTATTGTTGTTTTTTGCGGCTGGCTGGGGAGTGTGAGTTATGTTTGATGATGACTTGTTCAGGGTGAAGAAGGTGGAAAGCATGACTGTCACCTGAAAGTAGAATAAAAGAAATAGTAGATTTTTGTCCTCCTCTACCTGAGCTTGGAGTATCAGCAGCCAAGCTCAGTCTCTGTTCTCTTCATTCTCTCCCTGGGGAAACCTCATCTTTATTCCTGGCTTCAATTATCACCTCTTCATGCACACAGGTATCCCCACTACTTCTATATCAGGACTTATATAACTTCATAGTTGACATCTCTCAGAAGCACCTGAGGCTTACTTTTGCAGAATGGATGACCCTCTATTGCAATCCTAATCCTTTTCCTGGGTTTCCACTCCCCGGGCTTTGTGCCACCTTCGCTAGCCAGCCAGTATAACCCAGGAGCCAACCTTGAAGAGTGCTTTTTCCTCATCTTCCATATCTAATCCACCAAATCCTTCCAACTTTAGGCTATAAAGAACTTGTGAATCCTTCCACTTTCCCACTGTCAAAGCTGCCACCCAGTCCTGCTAGTCTGAAATCCTTCTGAATGGATCTACCTATGCCCATTTCAGGTTTCCTCCAATTCCCTCTCCACCTCACAGCTGGAATGATCTTCTCAAAACTCAAAGATGATGGTGTCATATTTCTGCTTAATCTACCTGATGGCTTGTGTTTCTAGTCTTAAACACAATTTATAAGGCTCCTATGGTCTGCCTCCCCCGCCCCGCCCACAGCTCCAGCCTGCTTTGAACACCATACTCCTTCACTCTCTGGGGCCAGCCACAGTGGGCGTTCCTTTTTCTTTAATAGGTATCATGCTGTCCTCACCACACCCCTCAAAGCCTTTGTTCATAGGCTTCCTTCCCCATTTCATGTAATTAACCCCTGTACTTCTTTCTGATCTTGCCTCAGATGTGATTTCCTTAGAGACGCTACCAGAGACCTCTCCAACAAGGTGAAATCCCTTTGCTATATTTTCTCAAGAACATGGCCCCTTTCTGTACAGCATATTTTCTAAGTTGTGACTGGGCATGTGTGTGTGTGTCTGTGTGATTATTTGCCTTGTGCTTGTGCATTGTACTCTGGGCTCTGTGAAGCCCAAGCATCCTGTGTGCTTTAGCTAAGTGCCGTGCTTGGCTCACAATGAGTATGCCATAAATATTTGTCAGATGAGTGAATGAAGAGACCAGAAACACCCTTGTGTGTTCTTAGTTGGAATCACAGTAATAAAGTCCTGTTTCTCTGGTCTATCCACTGGGACTTGGGAACTGTATAGTCATAGGTAACTTGGAGACAATGGTGTCCATGATCACTGAACCAGGAGTTACAGCCAAAATACTAGGTTTTGACCTAGCTTTGTAATGGTGTGGCCTTCAGAAAGTTGTAAGTTTCTTAGGTCTAAATTCTAAAAATTTACCTACAGATTAGGTGTCTCCTGCTCTTGGGCTGTGCCCAGCTCTTTTCTCCAGGTCCTCTTCTTCCTCCTTGCTGCCTGCCTTCTCAGCTGGAAATGACTGAGGGCCTCCTGCAAAGGTAGGGGAGCGCCTTCTCTGTGGGATAGTTGGGAGGAAGCACATGGTGTGGGTACTGATTCAGTGGACTGCCTTGGTATTCAAAAACTATTGCTCGATTCTATTTCATCAGACAAACCAGCTTTGAAAAACAAGGCTTGAATAATTGGCAAGACAAGAAGCCCGTCCCAAGCACAGTTTTGTTTTTTTTTGTTTTTTGCCTACAAGGATGTTAATTCATCAAATTTAAATAACCAGAAGACTTGTTTTGGGGGCATTTACCCCCTTTCGTGTTTAAAAGGGATGAAATATATGCACATTGATCTCTCGTCAGCTCAGAGATCTCCATGCAGTACAGAATTTCAAGCGACTGTTGTTTATTTTCTATGTATTTTGTCTAAATCTCTCATGGTCAATGAAAAGGAGTAACTTGGTTTTCAAACTGAAGTGCTTCTCCAGAAGAAACTCAAGAAGTTGCCTTCTGGATCTTTCTCATTCATGGATCCCAAATAGCCTCCACAGATGGGGTTGAGACTCAGTCCAGAGGAGGTATCCCCATCAGGTCCCACAGACTCCCAGTGTGAAGCTTGCAAGAGTCTTTCTGTATGTTAATTTTTGCATCTCTAGAATGGTCATGGCAGTTCTTGCCAAAATCACTGAAACAATCCTGAAAGAAAATGAGAAGGATTAATCTTGTAGGATGATGAACCTGTATTTGTTTAGATTCTATAGTTTGGATGAAAAACCTCCTTTAGTAAATAATGTTTATACTGGTTTTATCTCTACCTGATTTGACATTGACAATACCAAATTACACCCCAACCACCCACTTCTTAATAAGAGGGGGAAAAAAATCAGAAGCAATTGTGTAACAAGTAAATCTCTTCTGGACCAGGGCCCATCTCTGTGGTTTGGCAACACAACCAGTGCAACATCTCTTTTCTCATCTGCTGGGAGAAAAAAAAAAAAAAAGAACCAACAAAGAAAAAAAAAATACCTGGAGAATAAAGGTAATCATTAATCTATCAGGCACAAAACGGAACCTTCTGAGGATTTCAGGTTCTAACTCACCAATTCAAACGCATCAGCAGCCAATAGGGAATGACCATTTCACCAGAAGAAGATTAAGTCACTCTTCTAACTACGACAGTATTTGGACAGCCAGAGAACCTCACTGGAAATCTCCAGAGATCTGCCAAGAGTAGTCTTAAGTCTCCATGTTCATGTGCTGGTGAAGGTGAGGACCAGAACAAGCAGGTACTGGTGTAAAGTGGTCCTTGGAGAAGCCCCAAGATGCAGACTGAGAAGGAAGAGACGAGGAAGAGCTTCAAGCAGAGGCTGGCTTTGAAGAGCAGCTTAGCCAAGGAAACGATTTCCGAGTTCCTGGGCACATTTATAATGATTGTGAGTATTTCCTGATTTCCTAAGTTCTGACCCCATAATGTTTCCCTGGCTGCCATGCAACTGGCACAGAGTTTTGCTTTGTTTGGTTTTCTTTAAAAAATTATCAGATTCATCTCTTCCAAGAAGCAGCAAGTTACCTCCTGGCTGTTAGGCTATCTAGTGGCTGTAATGTTAAGTTTTCATTTACTCATGACATTCTTCATAGCAGTTAATGGGTCAGAGGAAGGGAAGTGGAGTGTTTTCATTTCAGGTATTTTCTTACACAGAATCTAAAATGGCCCTGTGATTGAAAAGTCAGTTGCTACAAGTTGTTGTTGTTGTTGTTGTTGTTTTCCATTAAATAATTGATTTGTATCCAGCTTGCTTTCTAAGAGCATTGAAGTGACTTGGTCACCTGGTATAGTGGCGGCAAGAAGCAGCTTACCAGAAGAGGTGCTTGGCAAGGGTATGTTGTCAGATCCTTTGACTTTTAATAAATTAGAATCTGCACCAGGTTGGAACCGGGTATATGCTGTAGTGCAGCTTTGGTTCTGTATCATTTCCCCCTCTAACTCAAACAAATCTCTATAAAGATTCTTAAAAGGACAGTTACCAGAATCTTCTAGATATAAATTAGGGGCTGATTTTAAGAAACTTTAAGGATTTGTCCACCGAAAGATGTGCTCAGCTACTAACAAGAACTGTACCGTGTGCTTCAGTGTCACAGACTCTAGGCTTTCGTCCTCTGCATGTTCTAACATTCTCTGGATCCTGAATTTTCAGTTGGAGTCAGATCATTTGTGAGTAGAAATTATTGTCACTTGGCATTTGGCTACTACTGACTTCAACTTGTTAAAAAAAAAAACACTCAAAGATTTCTCTACTCTATATGTTATACTTTTCGTAAGGTTGTAGAAAATTGCTCATAAACTTTGCACATTGAAAGTTCTTTGCTTGGAGAAAATACATACTAATTTAGAAAATAAACTTGTATATGTCAGGCAAGCCAAAATTGAGAAAGGACATGAACTCAGAAATTTGAACTAGGGTAACATTAAGAGAGAATCGGACATTTTCTGATCCCTGAGAGACTTTCTACTCCATTCACACAAGGATTTGAGGAGAGTTGGAGACAATTTCTTACACTCCTCACCTTCCCCTGGCAGGAAGCCCTGGTTGCTCTGACCATATTCATTCTCAGGATTTAGGTAAGGGGAGTTAGAAGGAAAGGGGAGAAAATAAAAGCCAATGATTCTTTCCATTCTAGTCACTGTTTATTGGAAAATCACTCTAGGCAAGACAGGGATTCTTGTGTCATAATTCTTGACAATTGGGCCCCAAAGAAAAGAGCAGTTGTCACCACAGACTGATTTCAGCCCTATGGTGACTTGTGGTTCTGAAAAATGAAGCAAATTCAGTTACCATGCTCAGTCCTCTGAAGAAAGTGAAAAGGAGGAAGTGAACTAAACATTTTTTTTCTGCAAATGGAAAAGTTAAGTCTCCTATTTCTATACACACACACACACACACACACACAAATTGTTTTATGATTCCAGTATTTTTTTATAAATACTTTTTAGATTTTAAGAACCTTTATTTTTTTACTTATTTATATGTGGAGCTGAGAATTAAACCCAATGGCTCACACATGCTAGACAAGTGCTCTGCCACTGAGCCCCAGCCCCAGCCCACTAATTCCAATCTTTTGACACAGAGAAGGTGAAAGTTGCTTTGAACCATTCGCTGCTCTGCTCAAGAAGCATGTCTTTTCAGTGTGAGATTATGACAATATATTTTTTGATTTTCAGGCTTCCTGTCTCATAACTCCCTCCCCAAGGTTGTTCATAGAAACCTTAATCATCCCTGCCTTTCTATCTTCAAGCCAGCCATAAAGAGATTTTTTAACTTACCTTGTCTGATAGTGGGTTATAAGACCCCCATTTCAGAAGGGATCCTGCCCTAGACCCTTGAGGAAGGAATGCTACTTAGAGGGGCTGAGAAGAATCTGAACAGACAAGGCTGGGCTGTGTTTCCCCATCTAGTGTTTTTGTTTGTTTTTAATGCTAGGAATCAAAACCAAGGCCTTGCGTGTGCCAAGCACACACTCTATCCCTGACTATCCCCCTTCCCCCACCACCAGTCTTATAGCATTACATCATACTCTTTGTCCAATCATGTTTTCACAAGGTGATCCAGACTTTAATCACATCTCTGCAATCAAGTATCCTCTCCATAAAAATTTATAAGGAGAGCTAAACACATGAGGTTCCTGGGGGGTGGTGCATCTGCAGAGGGCATGGAAGCTCAGCCCCACCTCTACATGTCTCATTCATCTCTATCTTCATCTTTGTAACAAATCTGTAAACCTAAGTAAATATTTCTCTGACTTCTATGAGCTGCACAAGCCAACTAACTGAACCTAAGGAGGGGTCATGGGAACCCCAAATTATGGCTGGTATGTCAGAAGCACAGATAAGACAACCTGTGGCTTATGAATGCCACCTACTGGGGGGAGGGAGTGTGTCCTGGAAGACTATTGGGGACTGAGCCCTCATCCTGCAAGATCTAATACTAGCTCCAGGTAGACTGGGTCAGAATCAAATTGGAGGCCAGTGTCTACCTCAGATCTAATTACTTGCTTGCTGGTAGGAAGAAGTCTGTACACCTTTGGGGGTCACAAATTGTTGGGTGTGGATTGTTGTGTTATGAGAGCAGAGAAAAACACAGTCTATCTTTTCTATACCCAGAACTCAAAGTGGGGGCTAAAGAAATTGTATCTTAATGTATGTTGAAAAATTACACTCGTATCTTTTGGCTAAAGTCAATCATTTTGTGAAAGGATTAATTTCTATGTTATACTTATTTCCTAAAGTGAGCCCTGATATAGATTATAATTGTAATCTTCAGTTTTGTTGAGATCTCTGGAGATGTGTAAACAAGTTTCTGCATAATCTCGGTACTTTTTTTAGCCAATGTGTTTACATGGTTTTGATCAAAGAGTATTCCGATTTTTTTTGGAGGAGGACTACAGGAGATTGAACTCAGGGGCACTCAACCACTTAGCCACATCCCCAGCCCTATTTTGTATTTTATTTAGAGACAGAATCTCACAGAGTTGCTTAGCACCTCACTTTTGCTGAAACTGGCTTTGAACTTGTGATCCTCCTGCCTCAGCCTCCCGAGCCACTGGAATTATAAGCGTGCACCACTGCACCTCGCCAGATTGTTTTTGATTTTTTAGAAAATGTGTATTTTGCCTTGTTTTTCTAGTGAAAATAATTGCATGCTGACAAAGCAGGGAGAGGAAACATTAAAAAGATGGCAAAGGATATGCAAGATTTATCGGTTCTTCAAATTTGATAGAATAGTTTTTCTCCCAGACCCTAGTATTCTGATGTCATTTCTCTCCCCCTTCTCAAAATCTGCTCCTAGGGGAATCATCTCAAACTCATTCACACTATTGTATAAATGACACACATAAGGACCTAGTGGTAGCATTAAGAGAGGAGAAAGTCCATGAAAAAAATCTTTGTAAATTACAACTAAAACCATCCATTTATAAGACAAAGAATTAGCTCTAATTTGGCCTTGTAGACATTCAGATAGATAGGCCTTTCATCGCTACTATTGTTAGGGAAAGGTTTACAATACATCTTCTTTACTACAGAGAAAAATTTTAGAAGCATTGAGTCTCAGTTATAATGAACTCAATTATAATAATTTTATATTAATAATAATAACAATGAATAGTTAGCCGCTTTATTACCACCCCATAAACAGAAAAAAAGGAGGGCTGAAGGAGAGAAAGTAACTGATCCAAATCATAAAAACGTCAAACTTGATTTCTTTTTAATTCTAGAGCCTATACTTTCTGAGCCACTTCCCATTTCTGGAATCCCTTGGGGAACATCCCTGATAAATTGTACTCCCTCTGAGGTGGATGGGGGCCATGTGGTAGCTGTTATTTGCTTGTGAGCAGAGGAGTTGAACTGATGGGCTTGCTGGTGAGATCAGTCATTGTACCCCAGGGCCAGTGTCTTCACAGTGAATAGACAGATGTGAGGTAAAGACAGAGCAGGAGACCTTCAAGGCCTCTGCACCATTGCTTGTGGCCTAGGGACATCCAGTAGCAGACCCTGCATGAGCGCTGAGACCCCCATGGGAACTCACGTTGTCTTCCTGCTCCTGCTCTGTTACTTGACTGCATTATGATCTTGAGCAATGGATTCAATTTCTTTGAGTCTTAGTCTCTTCAAAAGGAGCTAACACTTCCTAGTGTTTTTGTGAACACTGGATACACATTACATGTAAATTTCCCAACAGAGGAAATGCTTGTCAGAGGTCAGCTCTCTTTCCCCTTCCTAGTACCTTTCCCTCATCTATGTGAGAGGACTTCTTGTGTTTGGTCTTCTCTTGTGCATCTTAAGGTACCTTTTCCCAGCTTCTGTGGTGGAGTTGTGCCCATAAACAAAGGAGACCCCATAAATGTGCATACATTAAAATTTGTTCATTTTGGTGCTAGGGAATGAACTGAGGGGTGCTTAACCATTGAGCCACATCCCCAGACCCTTTTTAATTTTTATTTTGAGACAGGGTCTCACTAAGTGGCTTAGAAACTTGCTTTGAACCTGTGATCCTCCTGCCTCATAAAAATCTCTTTGGTGGGCTGAACTTCTTAGACTCTCTAGTCATTTAGAGTCATTTCTCACAGGGGCTTTGTCTGCTCCTCATTATTCTATATGCCCTCCTCTCTTCAAACTTCCCGGTATTCTTTGATGCAAAGCTCATCTTATTGAAAATGCTGAGACAAACAACCTGGAAGCTTCCATATTTCCTCCTGAAGTGGGATGGTATCCTTCCAGGGCTAGAGTTATGAGTAGGTTACATCTCCTCATGAAGTGGTGAGGCCCTAAATTCTTTTCTCACCCTGTCAAGCTTCCACATTAGAGATATAACTTTTGGCATCTTTAAGAGTTAAAAAAAAAAAGAAAGCAACTACTTCTGTTAAAAATAGTAACCTT